TATATATATGTATATACACGTTGATAGGAAAGTTTTAAGCATTTAAAATCAAATACATCTAACTCTTCTTTTACACACGGTTTTAAAATAACACGGTTAAAAAAACCGCTCATTTATTTTTTACAAATTTGCGATATTTTTATTAAAACTTTCATCAAGTTTATGACGAATAATTTACTAAATGTTATTTCTAATATTTTTAATTTCAAGGTTTTTTTTTTTATTTTTTCTCCTTATATATATAATCCAATATTTATCTCATTGTCAGAATTATTGCAATTAAGTTTTCATTATTGGTTTTTCAAATGGAATCTAGTTCTTTATTTCATTTTATACGGTTTTTGGATAACATCGAACGTATTCTTCATTTTGTAATACGAAGCGTATCTTTTCGTCTACGATTTTTCTTATCTGGGGTAGATACGTTCCTCATTAAAAAGTTGGGTATATTTATAAGCGATATATGATAAACAATTTAATTATAGAGATAAAAAAAAATAAATGATAAATCGATCGAAGAGTAAAGTGGCACGGTCGATGATAGTAAACGATATTAAAATTACATAAATACGTAACATACGCGTCTTTATTATCTAGTACACGTTATTATAATCACATTTACGATAAATTCCAACAAAATTTGATGATTTCTTTCTTGATCATGATCTTATTTCTAAAAGATAAATTAGTAGAGTTTTTTCGTTAAAAAATTTCTCTTTCTATGTTAAAACGTTTTCCAACCGAATTTAACCTCCGTTAAACATTTTCAACAGATTCATATAAATAACTTTCTCTAATTTTTTATCTTTTTGAAAGAGAAACGTTTTATATTTTTTTTTTTCAAATACAATCATTTTTTTTTCTATACAAGAAATAACTAATTAAATAATAATTGAAGTAATCATTCATCTCTGTTTTATTAATATTATTATTATTATTAATATTATTATTATTATTATAATTGATCATTCAGATAATATTATATGTTAGAAAAAATTAAAAAGAGAGTAGAAATAGTATACATAAATGTATCGCAAGCATAGAACGGATTATCTAGGAATGATTTGATGTACTCGACTTGCAAGTTGAATCTTTTTTTTTTTATTCTCAAAGGGGGTTGGTTCGTTCGATTGAAATCTTCGAATTGTGAGAGAAAAAAAGTTTCGATCCGATCGTAATGGGGGAAGGGGAGGAGGAGGAGGTAAAAAATGTAAGATAAAAATGTGCGAGGGAAGAATGGTTTAGTTGAGTTTTAACGTCTAGGTCGTGGTGGTGCAGCCCGAGAAGATGGCTTGTTGTGCAGCATGTGTTCGCACTTGGGAATGTGACGCTCAGCTGCCGCTTGGTTGAACTTCCTGCCACAGTGGGGACATTGAATGTAGTCGCTGGTGTCGCTGACCGGGGGCGGGGGAAGGTCACTCAATCGTCCACCTGCCGCCAGATGTGCCTGAACTTGCTTCGCCGAGCGAATTGCATTTATGAACTCTTCGTGCTTACGTCGCCAATTCGACTTCACCTCTGGCTTCTTCGATTTTAACTGCAAACGAACACACAAACACAGACACCAATCGTATATTTTCGGACATATACAGGGAGAATGACTACGCGACCTACATACGCGATTCTTTTATAAAACGTCGAAAGATCTAAAGTGGAATAGAACTCTGTTCCTTCCTTCTCTTCTCTTCTCTTTTCTTCCTCCGTTAAACCGTTTTCTAACTGAATTTAACTTTCATTTGACATTTCTGAGAGATTCTCTAATCTTACGTGTAAACATCTTAACTCTTTTCTCTGTTCCCATCTTTTTTTCTTTTCTTTTTTTTTTTTTTTTTGTAAAGAGACAATCTTTTAGTTTCTATTATTTTGTTCGCACAAGAAATAATTAAATATTGTATATCCTAAATATTGATTTTAATTACATTTGAGATTGAAAAAATTTATATAGAGTCACTTAGTAAATGGAAGCTAATAATTTTAGAAATCGTTTGGATCTTTCTTTTACTATTAGAACATTAAAGTAACTTACTTCGTTTTTCTTGGAGCCCTTCTTCACAAAAGATTCCAATTCGGTTCCCTTAACTCTGTACATGGTCGTGTCGAATTGTTTCCTTTTTTTCTGCACAGTTTTCGCACATATCTGCTCGTGAAGGGTCACGCGATCTTGAGCGAATCGACGTCCGCATACTTTGCAGGGGGCAAGGTTTTCTCTGAGAAACAATTATTATACTGATTTATTATTTTAAACTTAATTACAAATTGAAAGACTTGATTAGTTCTAATAATAAGATGAAGATAATTAAATAGCGAAAATGTTGGTATAATAATTGATTTCTTCCGAACTTTCTTTCTATTTTTCTTTCTTCCGTTTTCATCTCTGTCTTTCTGTTTTTCTCTTTGATTTTATTTTTTAACAACGATCGGAGAACAAAGGCGAATGAAAGAGTGCAAAGTAATGTACATACTAACTACGACTCTCTTCATCTGCACTTCTTCCCTTTCGTTTGCTTGTTGTCGAGATGGGACGGTCTGTGAAACATAGTACGCTTCAAGAACTCTGATATAATAAAGCTCCATCTGCATTTCCTTCCTTCCATCCCTTACTCTTTTCCTCCCTCTTTCTTTATCTCTCTGTCTGTCTTTTTTTAATTTTATTTCTATCTATTTATCTCTATCTTATCTTTTGATTGTTTCTATATAAGTCGTTTCGCATAATAACGAATTACTTTGGCCGTTTCTCCTTCGTTCCGATAATTTTCTTCCTTTGTAGCTCTGAACGAGTTACAAAGCGGTAAGAACGATAGTCTGCTTTTTAAAAAGCATTTATTGAGAGTTATTTCTTCATATATTTTTTTTATTCTTCTTCTATAATTTATTATTATTATTATTTTTTAATTTATTTAAATAAATCTTTTTTTATTAAATCCTAAAAAGGCTGGTAGTGACGTATTAACCTTTTGAATGCTATACACGTACCTATATATGCGTTTGTTGATACGAATGCAAATAATGTAATGTCGAATTGTGTATTCATAATGTCGCACCAGAATTACGCACGGAAAACACTTTCTTGTGTTATTTTATTTAGGAAAATAACGATTATAATTTATTTTTTGTTATGTCTAGTATAATCAATCAACGGAACTGATACTAGTAATAAAGTATTCTGTCTCTACGAAACGCTTCGGCCAAGAGTATTTAGCATTTAAAGGGTTAGAAAAAAAAGCATTCCTTATTATCATTATTTCTTACGTGGCATTTTGACCAGCTCCACTTTTAACGCAAGAAGATCCTTTAGAAGTTGGCGTATTGCTGATCGGAGTCCTTGCTTTCGTAGCCATTCTTCCTTTCGAACTAGAAATTTGAGTTTGTGTTGGATTGCCGTTGGAAACGGATGAGGCCGAGGACGTCGGTCTTCCGGAAATGGCCGATGATGATGTTTGATGTTGTTGTTTCTCAAAAAGAGAAAACGTTGAAATTTAGAATCTCTCACGATGACATTTTTATTTTACAATTTCTGTCACTTCATATATACACATATACATATATCTATTTTCTTTTTTTTTTTTCAGTGCCATCTAGATAAAAGTATTGGGTTGCCCGGAAAGTTTGTGTCGATTTTGAAAGAAATGTATTAAAAATATTAATCGTCACGAACCGTTCCCCCAGTAATCCAATGGTAATGCATTGGGTTTTCTTTGAAAGTATGCATTAGTGGAAAATCAGAGTGGGTCACGAAAGACCCCGTTACAGGACTTTATAGAACCGTAATCCGAGGGTTAATTTGAATTCTGTAAATTCTACTAGTATTAAATCTTCTATACGAATTGAAGTGGTGATGCCTTAGTAGAGATTTACATTTTTATCTCTGTTACGATTAATTATACACCCCCAATTCTGTTTTTATACGAACTTCTTTTACACGATTTTGATTTAACACGAATTAGGAAAACAAATTTAATTCTCTTTTTACGCGAGTTATATTTTAATTTAACACGGTCGACCCAAATTCTAAGAAGTCAATTTTACTTTACTTTTATTTTTATAACTGCGACATTGAAGACGAGGAATTAATTTAGCTTAAAAGTCAATAAATCGTAAGTTTAACTTTTGTTTTATTAACCCCTTAGTTTACAATATCGCCTCAGAGTCGACCGGGCCAAATGTAACCAAAATGTCTCCTGTTAGAAGGAGTCGATCAGTGAAGCAAACTTTTGGTTGGTAGTGTATATTATGTAAGAAAATTCAACTCACTTCCATGGATTGCTTCTTGGCCAATGGCCTTTTGGAATCCGTATTATCGTTAGTCTTTGTGGGCGGTCGTTCCTCGAAGTCGATCGTAAACGCCTGACATTTCTTCGGTAGTTCGTTTTGTTCTTTCCTTTCGACGATCTGTTCCTGCAAATGTAGACCATTCTGGAGGACGTTAGGAACATCCGTTCTCGTCGTTGATCTTTTAGACGTGATCGAATCCGAAGCTTTCACGAAGCTAGATTTTATCGATGGCTTCGTTTCTTGAGTCTTTGATTCAAGGGTTGAAATACGCTATAGGAAAATACAATAATCATAAAGAAATCATTTGAAAAATATAATCGTAAAATTATGTAAAAGGTATAGATCGCTTTTGCATCGAATTGTTTGGATAGTTTATGAATTATTTAACAAATATTTTCATAATGATGATAAAAGTGTATTGATTTTATGTATCCTTGAAAGAAGCTTATTTTTGATTAAATTGTTTTGTACAGTATCTAAATTTACTAATTCATTTTAATTGGATGTTAAATTGAAAATAGAAGGTTATGCAGCAAAAACGATAAAAAAATGATTATCATTTACGTAGATAACGTGAAAGCACTCTTAAAAATGATTAAAAGTTTAAAGCTGAGAATTTCAGTTTTAAAGATGCAAACGTTCGAGGAGAACTTTCTGTTTTGATAACGATCGAATAAAAAATATGGATCGAAAATAATCAAGTGGATACGATTCGCAGAAATAGTAGAAATATTATTGCAAACAACAATAACAATTGAAACAATTCAATATATTATAAACACAAATAATAAATCACTTACTCTAGGTAAAATATCTGGACTCTTGGAAGGTGATGAAGGAACGCTTCTTCTGGTTAAAACCGTCGTACGACAATCTATGTCCGACGATTTTTTCGAATTAAGTGATTCCGGACTGGGACTTTTGTTAATCCTATTAAGACGTAGAGAATTTGCGGATAAAATCTTTCCATAATCTCTTAGGTGAGAATTATTCTTCGATCGATTTTTGGAAGGAATGCTTTTTCTATTTAAAGGGTCACTGTCGACGACTATTCGCGACTGGTTTTCGGACTTGGTTGAAGCCTTTAAAATTTCATTTGCAATCGCTGACCTCGTTTCGGCTTGTCTCGTTAAATCGATATCGGTTATTTGTGTCAATGCTACTACCGTTCTTCCACTACTATCACATACGATGGATTTTCGTATGTCCTCGATAGAACGTAATGGCTTTACGGCAACCGTACGATCATCCTGATCCTCATCCACATCCTCATTCTCCTCCGTCTCCTCTTTCTTCTTCTTCTCTTCACGTTTATTTTGTTTTTTCTCAATTTCCATGGATTTTCTACCATTGACATTTATTTTATTTTCAGTTCGAAACGATTTTTTTAACATACAACCTACATGCTTGATTTTCGTTTCATCAAATCCCGAATCTTGAAAGAGTTTCCGTTTGCAAGCTGCTAAAGATCGTGATTTTGATGTTCGTGAAATTTCCATCGAGTCTCTCGCTTCCGCTAACTTTTTTCCTTTAGAACCTTGTCGCAATGTCTCTACTTTCGTTTGGAAAATTTTTTTCGTTATACTTGGACTTTTTTTAACGTTTATATTTTTTGTATTCTTTTTCAAATCCGATTTTGATTGATATTTTTTAATTTTAGGAGATTCTAAGATTCTATTTTTCGTTTTTACCGGTTCTTTTACTTTGTTCGTAAATTTCATTGGTGTTTTTTCTAAAGAAATTTTAGACGATGATAACTCATGTGTCAGAGTTGCATCAACGCAATCTCTTCCAATGGTTTCTTGGTATTCAGATTCCGCACCGATCGAATCGAAACGTCTCAAAGCGGATTCTACGGAATCGGTTCTTCCATAATAATTGGCATTACTTGATAACGAGATCATAGAAATTTGATCGGAAAATTTATCGAAGGATTCATTGTGTTTAATCGATTCCGTTAATTTCGTGTTTTGATTATCTTCCTTATTAGAAGATTGAGCTCTTATTACGCGTCTTATAAGTTCAGTGGATTTTAATAATTCTTTATTCGCGTCTTCACTTTTCATTTCTCCCGCGGAAGTTCGAATAACTCGTTTGTATAAGAAAGGCGAACTACTTCTCTTTTGAATTTCCTTCCCTGATTCATCGAAAGTTATGTCCCTCAAACTTACATTAGTTGTTCGATTCTTCGATGCGATGTCCTCGTTTGTACAAATCGATGAGGAACTTTTCGATCTCGAAGATTCATTTTTAATGCTTTTCAAATCTACGCTGTTTCGTCGTTTACCAAGAGAAACAATTATCTTCCCATTCTTATTTTCCGACAAATGCCTTTTGCTCAACTTCGAACTCGTCAAACCTTTCAAATCCATGCTTTTTTTCTTTTTTTCTTTTTCCCATGATTTTTCACTTAATGATCGATTACTTTCCTTAAACCTTCGAACTTTCTCGATTTCATCTTTAAGATGAAAAATGTTCGAATCCAATATGGAAGTCCTTGTTTTTTTCTTCTCTTTTCGAATAGGATAAGTTAAGTGATTCGTTGTTATTGTTTTTTTATCATCAGTTCGTAACTTCGTCGCATTCGATTTCGAATAGGTTCCATCTGGGATTGATTTTGTATTTTTTTTTCTTTTTTCTTTATTTCTACAAATAGCATCGTTGTAACGAACATGTTGATCGGTCATCGTTATTTCTTGAATTTCGGTGTCAACCTCGGCCGAGGTAAAACTTTTCGTACTTTTTGGACTCTTTGGACTTAATTGCAAAGTTGTGTCGATATTTTTTAACGAAAATTTACGTTCCCGATCCGTCATGTTTTTTAAATCGATTACGTCTCTTACATCTATTTTTAAAGAATTTTTTCTGACAGGATTAATACAATAATTTGTACAATCCTTTCGTTTGTTCTCTTTTGGAGTAATTTTAGAATATTTTATCGGATTAATTTTTAAATGATCTTCGTCATCCTTCGTATTTTTTTCTTTCCGTACATTTTGAGTTTTCATAGCGTTACGAATAAGTTGTATAGATCGTAAAGCATTTATCGAACCTTTTTGAGACTGTAATTCCAAGTTCGAACTCTTGTTAGAAGTTTCCGAACTGTCCGACGATTTTCGAATATTACGTTCTAGTTTTAAATATGACGGACTTTGCTTGGCGATTATTTTTTGTGATACTTTCGATTGAAAATCTCGACTCGAGCTGACGCCATCGCGTTTGTCTTCGTTGAAATTTTTAGGTTTCGGCTTAAGGCTCATAGTTGTAGCAGATTTTTCCGTTTCGACGCAAAAAAATTCCGGACTCGTATCACGTTTTTTAAGAGTCCTGATTAATTCCGGAGAAGAAGTGTGTTTGGATTCCAAGCTGGTCGTGGTTGAACTTTCGGATGGTCTACGATAAGATGAAAAAGTAGACGAATCTCTTTTTCCATGGGTTTTGTAAGAACGTTCATCGTTGTTGCTCGCAGTGGTGATAGGAAAATTGTTGACTTTGGTAGAAGAAATTTCTCGAGTTTGGACGTGTCGTTTGGTATTCGAGAGAGGTTTCGATGTAAGCTTAGAGTCCAAGGTATCGATAGATATTTTGGTAGAAGATTTTTTCGATTCGTTGGAAAAGAATGTTGGGCTATCTGTTGGATCTATCGTTTCGTCTTGGCCAGGAACATCGGCTTTTCTCTTTTGAAATATGGAGTTTTCGTTGGACGTGCCGGTTTTTCTATCGTATCGTATTTTCTTCGATTTATTTTCCTCTGTCTTAGATTTTTCGAATGCCACTTGACCGTATTTTAGACTACCTTTTCCAATCTTAAACTTATTCGATTGTTTTTCCCTTATACTTCCTGTTTTTTTCTTATTCTTCTTAGCTGTAGTCGTCGTAACGCCCATGATGCCGACTCTGAGAAATTCAAGTTTTGACAAAGACCATTGATCACAAACTTCTTTGCATTTTTATTTTTCACTTTATCTCAAAACATTTAAACCTCTCACCCTCTCCAGAGTTCACTCGTACTTCACATAATGTTCCTTATTTTTGTTTTCTAGCTTATAGCACGAAAATGATGTTGCGGTTAGTGATCGTGGGAATTTTAATGCTGCGGTAGGCATTGAACATTCAAATCTTTAATGAGAACGAAATTTTGTTGAAATTGACTTGTAGTTTTGTCCTCGTCACCTTTATGTTAAAAGAACCACTGCCACTGCGAGAGACTAGGGTTAGGGGGAATACATTCGGATGAAGAGGAGACAAGTAAAATAAAAAAAAAGAAGAAACACAAAGATACAGCGAGAGAGCCAACAGGGCGAATTTGTTCGTAGCGCAGGATTATGTCGTCAGCGAGCTTAAGCTGGGATCTATCTCGAAGGTTTCGCCGCGTTTAGAATCGAGTTAGGGACTCCATTCTACATCCTCTTTCTCCCTTGTTAAATTGATGTCACAGAGAGACAGCAATGCGAAGCTTCCAGCCGACCTTCAATATTTTCATCATCTTTTTTCCAACATCGACTATTTGAATCGTTATTTAATCTCTTTTTTTCACTTCGAAATTATTCTTTCGTTAAAACAGAACAAGTACAGGATTGTCCCGTCTTTTTTCTTTTTTTTACATTTTTTTTTTTTTGCAATAAATACCGAGTTTGAATCCTTCGTTAAAAGCGCACAAAAATTGCTTTTCTCTCGCGTTAAGCGAAATAACATACGATATTTTTTTCCCTTTCTATTTATTTTTTTCTTTTGCTTTTTTTCAGATATCAATTTTGAATCCTTCGTTAAAAGCACACAAAATTGCTTCTTTCTCATTCTCTCTTTCTTTCTCTCCCTTTCTCTCTCTCTCTTACTTGAATCATCGTAAATTCTATTTATTTGTTAAGCCACTACACTTGCATAGTTTAATAAAAAATGCCTAATGCCTAGTCAGCGATTGCAACGATTTATGACGATAGAAAAAATTAATTGTGTGGTAAAAGCAGTTGCGTATTGTTAGCATGATTTATATTCTAATTATTTTTATAGATAATGATTTGTTTCTTTTTTTTTTTTTGTCGGTGGGAAATTTCGAACACGAAAATTTAAGATCGAAGGATAAAATGATGGAAGTTATTCAAAGTACGCAAATTCTATAAATTCTAAAATACCTCGAGTTAGTTCGTGATGATGGCAGTAATGGTTCAGATCGTTTCTTGCTCCCTGTAGTTGTTGAATTCGAAAGTTTGATAGCATTATTTCGTTTGGCATTCATATTCTTGAATCGTTCTAAACGTGCCTCAGCTTGAGATAACTTCTTGCTGACAGTTCGCTTCGGTATTTTGTCCGTTACTTCGACCAAGAGTTCTTCTGGAAATTCTTCGCTTTCGAGATCGTTTTTAACGCGATACTTCAACGTCTCGTCATATTGCATTAAGTGTAGTTTGGCCATCATTCGATTTCTTTGAATCGTGTCCTCGTCCATGATATTTTCCATTTGTACCTATAACAAATAATATATATTCTATATATTTTTCTCTTATCTGCTTGGAACTAGATAAGATAGACAAGAAAAGGAAAAATAACGTGCAAGCAAAATAGCGTGACCCAACAAAATATTAAATTGTTAATATTGTAGTAATTTTGTGGTAATTGTTTGAATATTTGTACGATCTTAAAATTAGATATTATTTAAGTTATTATTTTTTGTTGAGAGAAATATTACAAAAATTATATGGGAAAATAAATCATTTAAAATAAGTATTCATAGGAGAATAATCTCTTAAGTTCACATCGCGTCGGAATATTTTAACGAAGGTGATTTTGTAAATAAAAATAAATGATTATAACTAACCTGGTCAGGATAATTTCCATTAACGTAAGGAGCGGGATGATTTTCGTTATCGAACACTTCGATGTCATCCTCTTTGGGTGATTCGATTGTATGCGGTACGTCACGCGAAGATGAGGATTCCCTTGCGATTTCTTCGTGATAAGAAACGATAGGTTTGCCGTCGTTAACATTGCTGTTTAGGTCGGAACGCGTTACGCGTTTAACAGTAATGGATTGTCGATTGACGGTCAAACCATTGTTCCTAGAATTGCCGATGCCATTGCTTGTCGGTTGCTTTCTCGTTTTATTGTCAAGCGGTTCGAGGGGGTAGCTTCTATCGATGCCTTTCACGCTAGTCGTCTGTCGTCGATCGTTGAATACCTGCTGCTTTACCTTGTTCGACAATTTTCGATAAGATTGAAATGTCAAGTAACGTCGTTTGACGTTTAAAAGGATGCTAACGTATTTCTCATTTTATTTTGTCGAACGTTCGCTAAGGAATTTAGTTTTTCATTTATTTCAATCTTGATGAGTAATAACACAATTGAATAATAATTGGGTATCGGAACATTATTAAAAATATAAGATTGTTAAAACTTCAATGAATAATTTGTTTTGATTGAAACACTCTACATAAAGCAATCTTGGAATAATATGCAAACTAATTCGAAATAATCGAATGAATGTTTTTGTAGAATAGAATCGATACAACATCGGTCTTTCCATATCTGATGGCACAGTTATATATATATATATATATATATATATATATATATAGATATATATATCGAGCTCGCAGAAGATAAATGTTTTACCTTGGTAACCTGGGAGGTCGAGGTCGTGTGACCGGAGGAAGAAGTCCTCGTAACAATCTGGTGATGGTGGTTAACCGTAGAGGTCCCTTGGCCAGAGCTATTCGATCCTGAACTGCCTCTTTGTGCTACCTGATATGCTCTCTGTTGTTGTTGGTCGTAAAGCTGCAGCAATTTCTGCTCTTTCTCTTGTAGCTGCTTCTGTTGAAAGCGGGCCTGCGACACGCGTTGATAATTATAATTCACCCTCGTTGCGGCCGTCATCGAGAGAGATTATTTGAGAGAGTATTCGAGATAGAGAGAGAGAGAGAGAGAGAGAGAAAGAGAAAGAGAGACAGAGAAGCCAAGCCACCCTTTAGCCAGCCCTAAGCCTTAAGCAAGCTTTACGTGTTCTACGATCCGTTCGCGAGACACCGACCGCGAATAGAACCACGAGTTGCACGCTATAGTCCAACTCAGTGCACGTAATGCATATGCACCAAGAGTGCGATGGGTAACGTCCGACCTCATCGATTCATTCTGACCTACATCCCACGAAGGGGTTAGTAAACTCGTTAACTCGACTGGTCCGCTCTTACACAGCGCGTAGAAACTTTTCTCTCCCCCTTGTTTAACGCTCTACGCGTAATCATATAGGCCACGACGAAATCTTCATTCTCGGATGTACGCTACATTGAAATTATATTTTATCATATACTTTTCTCTTTTTTTCTTTTTTTTTTTTTTTATCATTATTTCGTTTTTATTAATTTATATTTGCAATAAAAAATAGCATTATTTTGTACAATTTTAATAAGTTAAAGATAATCGTATTTAGTAATATAGGTCCTGTTAATATATCCTAGTTTTAAATTAATAAATGTTATAATAACCACAACGGAATCTTTTCAAAGACACATTTACAATCATATTGTTTAAATTCTGGTCTTAATTGAATAAATTTGTAAATAATCGAAATGGAATTTTCTCAAAGATGAAATATTTACTTTCATAATATCCATCATTTATAGTAAAGTACAAGTATCACGATATCAGATAGTAATAACACCTTAAACCTAGACGCAAATATAAATTCTATGCTGATTGAATCATTGGGTTGGCAATCAGGTAGGCCGATAATTGATTTAATCCTAATGAGACATCGTTCCGGCGTGCTTCGGCTAGCCGCTTCGGCAACCTGCCTGACTGCTTGTGTTCACCGAGAGATCGTAGTATTCGAGGGGGTACACACTTGCATTTCGTATGCGTTTGTTTTGTTATAACTATGATGTAATGTCAATTAAGTTCATTAATATCGAAATGTATGAAATAGAAACATGGAGTTATCTAAAAGCATTAACGGAGCTCAGTAGTTCAGTTTGTAATTAACCACGGTCATCGAACTCTCCTGCATTTGCTATTTCCCATTCAATATATTTTTATGAAAATGCAATGCAATGCAGTGTAGTGCAATGCAATGTAATGCGTGACGCGACGGGAAGGATATCTCGTGACTCTTAAAATTGTGATACGTGCCTAAAGCTTGCCGACTGTATTTATAGAGAGAGAGTATCGACAATGTTCTCCGACGTAATACCACCGATCGATTTGCATTAAGTGCACGCTACCAATCATTCTCTTACAACAGAGAGAGAGAGAGAGAGAGAGAGAGAGAGAGAAAGGGAGGGTGCCTCCAATCAAGAAAATTTGCATTATTCCGTGATAATATACTAGAATAAACAGTCACCTCCAACGAAGCAAGATGAAACATCCAAGTGTTAGGGAATTTCTTCGTAAAAAATAAATGATAAGAAATTTATATCAGTTGGCATATTTTCGTGAACACTGTGTGCATCAAGGTAAAGCTAGCGTGATAATTTATCGTTCGTGTTAGATTTGATTTGGATTAGGTCAGGATCCTTCGCCTTTTTTTCTCCTTCTCTCTCTCTCTCTCTCTTTCTTTTCTTGAATAACGTTGCCAGTAAAAGAAAAGAAAAAGAAACAAATAGAAAGGGATATCACGTAATTGCAAAGGAACGTGTTTATCGGTAAAATGTGTTTTTCAGAGGGGACTTTTTGTGTGGGTGGAACTGGAAATTAACGCCCACATGTATGTTTGTGTATGTCTGTATATATTTTGGGGAAGGGTGAAGAGGAGGAGGGGGGAGGAGTGCGTTCACCTTGTCCTTAAAGAAGTCGCTGGGTCAGTGTAAACGATCTGAAGCTACGAAAAGGGAACAAGAAAATGGTAGAAAAGGTGGTGAAAGAAGATGAAGAGAAAACGAAGAAGAATAAAAAAAAAGATGCGAATACACGTTGATGGCGAAGGCAGAAAGGAGGTCAACGACGAGTGCTTTCGTAAGACTCGTCGTCACGTTGTCCCTTGAAAACTGGCCTCTCATCGTTCGAGTTCGTTTCGTTGCATTTCGCAGAAAGAAAGAAAAGAAGAGAGAGCAAAAATAAAGAAAGAATGAAAGAAAGAGAGAGAGAGAGAAAAAAAATGGACGAGATTTTACTTCTTCAACGAAGGAAAAGAGAAATGAGACGATCAAAGACGATGAAAGTATCTTTTTTAATATATCTGTATGTATTTATGTAGAGGGTGTCCCAAAAATTAACGGTACAATGAAAGGCAATAGATTAGGTCATTTCTAAAAAAAAAAAAACAAAAAAAAATAAAATTCTCTTAGGTACACTTATTCGATTATTCATCGTTTTCAAGTTAACGACATTTGAAGAAAATTAGAAAGAAATCGATCGTTTCGTTTTGGCTAATGTATGAAAAGCCACCTAGTCTATTTTGATAGTGCATTGTGATACGGTACGTTACATTTTCCGGAGAGTTTACTTCGTTGGTCAGATTTGTAGGGAAGGAAGGTAGTTCATGAAAGTTCGATGACGTTTGCAGATCCATCGGTATAGCACGAATAGCAAGTTGTTTCGACATAATCGATTCGATTCTCGTACGTTTATTAAATTCATTTTTAACGATGGTATTCTGATTGCTGTTGCTTTTTTTCTCCTTTTCTTGATTTTGCCAACAGACAATAAATTTTTCCACAAAGTCACCGTAACTTCTGACCTTTTGCCTTCGCACTTCTGACCGATTGCCCTCCATTATGCTCGATCATATTGTAAAAGGACAAAAGGTTCCTTCCGCGATGACATTGAGATGCTCGCTGAAAATATTTCTTTTTAAAGTGATTAACTAGAACATGAGTTAGCTTGTAACGTCGATATCAAATTACAATGGCAAGTTTGTAGTAACAGTTTGGGTATACCAAGTGCATTAGCATTACACATTGTTTGAAAAAACTAAATATTCCGTTTTGTTTAACATTCCTTTATTATTGCACGTGTTTCACATGACTTTACTGTTATCAAAATTAATTAGATCCATTCAATTAAACTGTAAGTAATAAGCTTTCGCAGCAAATTTGTCGTAGAGAAATAATTTGTTGCACATTGTATCAATTATTTTGTTAGATCTCACGAGTTTTACTTTGAACCTGGACGAAGTGAAATTTGAAACCTGTATATAAGTGTACTTATGTAAATGTAATAAGTGTACTCAAACTTTTGACTGTAAGTGTAGCTTCTTTCACCAATGCTTTGCTTTTGAGTCATAAAACAGGAACGGCATCATCTGTTATATATTGAGCTCAGTTTTACTGATGTTCGAATTTTATACAAATCAGCAATTGATTTCAAATTCTTGACTAGTAGTGTATATTTGCTTATGTGTGTGTATGTTATTTTTTATTGTCGTCCTGATAAATAGCGTGTGTCGGTCGACAAGAGACAAGTTTGATTATGCGTTTGATTTGTTGACGGTGAAAAGGTTGTAGTACTTCGTGTCAAGTTCACCGTCTTCTCTTCGCAAAGTTTGCAAGGACTAGTTATTCTTCGAGAAACTCGTAGCAGTTCAGACGTTATTCGAATGAAACATAGTAAGTTTGTTATCGAACTTCCGCGAATAGCATATCTCGTGTTCCGTTTCTTTCTTATTTCCTCGTTATTTTTTATCTCCTCGTTACTTTTTTATCGCCACTTAGATATATATTTTTAAATCATTCTTATAATTTGATTAATTACTTTATTTCTTTTCATCCAACAATTTTTTTTTGTAGGTGTGTGTTTTTTATTATTATTCTTTAAATCAAGGATATAGTTTATAGTTTTAATTCTTATCAAAATAGTTGGATTTGCTGTTAAAGAAAGAGAAAAAGAGAGAGAGAGAGAAGAAAGAGTACTCACTCGGAGGGCAGCAGACGAATAATACTGCATTGCATTCAACTGTACACTGTTCGTGTTTTATTGCCACGCATGCGTAACATTACTATCCTTAGAGAATTTCGCAACATGTAAACCAGGTGGAATAAAAGCAGGATAACTGTCGTATAGCAGTGGTCTTCAAACTTTTTCAGTTTACGGAATCTTTATCAGTGTAAAAATATTTTATATAATCCTACCTCGTAACACGACAAATGATATTGATGCAATGTAATATATCTAAAGAACAATTCGGGGAACCCTTGGGAAGGTTACGTGGAACCGCACCGTTTTCTGTGGAAAACAGTTTCAAGACCACTGTTTTATAGTTATAAAACTTTCGACACTTTCTTTAAAACTCATTTTTCTATCCGATCGTTCATCAGCGTTTTAGAAATATTTCATGATTACCGTAAAACCGTTAACACAGATTCAGACGATCGAACTATAGTGTTTAATCAATTTTCAGATAAAATAGATCGATCTCGTAAAAGATTATTTTCGATGAAGCATAAGAGAGAACTGGTCGCGAGCTGTTGTTGGAGAAATTCAAGGTCAGCATATTATCGACGTTCCACGGATCGAAGCACCTGGAAATTCTGACTTCATCGAGCGAAAGGTTCAAGGTCTCTCGAGAATATCGTCTCGTTCGTGCAAGACGATTGCTTGCTTGCTTGCTTGCTTCCTCGAACACCAAACTGAATTCTAATCATCCGTGATAAGTAATAACCAATGGGAACAATTTGCTTACTTAGTAACGAGTTTCCTACTTCACAATGGGACTGTTAGGTCACCGAATGAATTAGTTCTCAAGTAGCTTATTCTCTATATCTCTCTCTGTCTTTACTGCGATCGTTAGAAATTAAATAAAAAATAGTAAGATAATATATGTATACCGATGCTCGCGGACAAAGGTGTGTCAAAGTTAACAAGAGGAGGAGAAAAAAGAAGAAGAACGATTGTTAACTACCCACGCTTGACCTTCCTTCACTCGATCTGACGACGAGTGAAAATAAGAAAAAGAAAAGGAAAAAAATGACATTAAAAGGAGTATAATTACGTCATAATACTTTTTCGAGAGAAGGTGTAATTACGTTTTTTATACACACATATATATATATACACGTATATGTTGGTATTTATCGCGAGTTAATGTTTACGAAATGATCGATTATGTTTGAAATGAAAAAGCAAAAAAAATTCCTTCATACATTTTTTTTATATTTATCATAATCGTTTTAACGAAACAAACAATTTCATAAAATCATTTTTGTAATTTTATTTAAATGAAAATTAAAAATTTCTATTTATGAGAAAAGCAACACAAATGGAATTTATATTTATAAATTGATATGATGCAATATCTTGTCATTCGTAGTCGTAATAGGAGTTAACTTGTCACTTAACTGACACTGGCTTTGATTATTTTATAGGGAACAGGTAGATATCGGAGATGGGGGGAGGTGAACTCGTTCACGTTTTTACGTGGTTTTCATGGACGTGAATGTCGTGACGATGTCACGCGAGAAGAAGGTGCGAGCTTGCGGTCTGTCTCTGTTCTGTATCTCCTAGTCCTGATACGGATAAATCTGTGAATGTGGGTTTAGAGCAAGGAGGACTGCCATCTCCTTCTCCTTCTCTTTTTCTCTTTCTAGTATCTACACTCTCGATAACGGTCATCCTTGGCGATATAAATTATTTATAAGAAGATTCGTGTAGCCAAGACGCGCGTTCTGCTTGCTCTCTCTCTACGGTTATTTGTAATTGTAATTTATTTTCCCTTGTTGAGAGAGAGTTACAGATATACCTCCTACTTGTTAGACACGCGGTAAGTCAAGTAACGCAATTACATACCGGATTCGTTCTTCGTTCGAACGAACGTGTGTACATACGAACACAACATACATTCACGAGCTCGAGAAAATCTAGTCCTGCTTACCTTATCCGTGATTAAACGTTTATGTACATGACGCGTTGAGACTTTGCTTGAGTACACCTTAACGATAACTTTAGATTTTTCTATTGGAAACTATCGTTAGTATAAGTATCGAGATATTTCATAAAGAAGAGGAACGAGGACCTCCTGTTGGAAAGTTTTAAGCAAACGTGGGTGTTCGAAAGTTCACCGATGGGTTTACCATCCAACCTCTTCTCAACTTCCAAACATTTTTTATTTTTTACCATCTAGAATTGCATAAGAATATTTTGGATGTCACGTATTTCGATATCTAACAATCCGAAAATAGTCATTTTGAAAAGGAAAATAATTTTATTCCGAAGATGAAGATGGAAGAAAAGTAATTTAGTGAGGTTTGTTCGTGGTAGAAGGAGGACGAGGTTTCGTCGTCGTCGTCGAAAGGGGACTGAAAAGACGGAGGAAATGACGTCACATTATTATGGTTACGGATCTCCGTGGTTGGTTGCGGTTGACAAACCAAGCGTCTATGATTCCGTTCTCCTCCGATCCCTTTTGGTATCCTTCTTCTTCTCTATATTTTGCCTTCTGCCTCTTCCTTTCTTCGAGGATTGCTCTTTTGTTAGGACGTCGTTATATGAGAGACCAAAGTAGCCTTTGCTTTCTATCCGAGCAACCGACATTCGAAACCGGACGACCGACCACTAGAGTGGAAGAAAACAAGACGACGTTTCAGTCTTCTTTTCTATTCCTATGATACTAACGTTCCATTCGTTTGCTTCGAGAGAGAATGAAAGAAGAAGAGAGAGAAAGAGAGAGAGAGAGAGTGATAGCATTATTTGATTTTTGTAAGCCATCCTGAAAGAGTTTGACTTTTTTCAAAGACCGAATCCAGCTTTTGAAATTATTATTAAGTCTCCCCAAGTGTCGGTGAGTGGATAACAGGGGGAGAACACTGTTGTTATCGTTCACAATTTCAGAATAAAGTAATTAAAACCAAGAGAGAATTTAGAGAGGATTCAATCAAAGTTTCTGAAAGTTTAATTTTTTATTAGGACAGTTTCGCAATTATTAAGTTTCCTTGCGTTGGGAATGGGGGAGGACACTATTGTCATAGCTGAAAATTTGCAAATAAATTAATCAGAAATAAAAGAAAATGACAGCAAATTATCAAGTCACAAAGCTCGTGAAAATTTAATAAAGTATTTGTTAAGACCATTTCGTAGTTATATTTTTGTTCGTTTGTTTGTGTATTCAGTAAGAATTTTATTCGTATGGTGGATATCTTTGGCCTTTGGTTTTGGGTACATCAAATACGTGGGTCGTTAGCTAGGTCATACACTGGCAAGACAAGATGCCATATATGCGTCGAGTCAGCGAACATAACCGATACGTGGGCCAAAGGAGAACGAGAGATAGATAGATAGATAGATATATAGATATATTGATATATTGAGATAGATAGAGAAAAAGAAAGAGACAAAGAGAAATAGATAGCATGTACCTTAACCCAATCGGAGAATATATCGAGAACGTGCGTTCACGAAGACTGTCATAATACATAATAAAATCATTCAATGATTTACGTTCTTCTAGATCGATCATCTTATTATATTACAGACCAGATATTTTATTTTTAAAATCATACTCAGTGGCTAAGAATTTTTTTGCATTAAATATTTACTTTAAAATCGTGTTAAATATTTGTCCCTATTCATATGTTTAGAAAATTAAATTAAAAATGATGACAACAAATAGTTAATTTTTGTCACTTGTTACTTCATTAGAATCGTTTTCGAGATATCTCGTAATCCGTTCGCAATGTACGTTAAGCTATTTTAATTAGCAGCAATGATAATGAAGATTTTTGTTCGCTCACCTGCAGCATCTCGAGACGCGATGACGCCTGTGGTGCTGCCATAATCGAATAGATGTATATTTCCTCTCCTCACAGAGTTTCTCGATCTTGTGTTGTCTGCAAACAAGTAATTAGATG